TATTACCCTTTTACTATATAGGATAGAGGCCTGGTGCACGGGTGGGGGCTGGCTGGTTTGCCCTGAAGGGTGTCCCGCATCAGGGTGGGGGTCCCGCTTGGGTGCCTGGCCAACCTGGGTGAGGGGCTGATGGCTGTTTTCCGGCTGTCCGCACCCCCTCCAGGGTGGGGGTCCCCACTGGGGTGCCTGGACAACCTGGATGAGGGGCTGAGGGCTGTTTTCAGGCTGGTGGGCGACTGAAGCTCCCAACCTCTCCTTTTTTTCTTTTTTTCTTTTTTTTATTCTGGGATTTATTTACCTTCTATGGCTGTCACTGGAGCTGAGAGCCGGCTCCAGCTCTGAGGCCTGGCTCCAGCTTGAGGCCTTGGCTGCTGAAAGCAGGTATCTGAGGTTTGTTTGGCTTCTATAATTGAAACACTGTTGCAGCTCCAGCTCTGAGACCTCGGCTGGCTGAAAGCAGGTATCTGGGGTTTGTTTAGCTTCTATAATTGAAACATAGTTGCTTTTGGAGCTGTTGCTTTCAGGCTCAGAGCCGGCCGAGGCAGGTGGGGAACCTTGGCTTCCTCCATCACTGGAGCTAGCAAACCACCTGCTCGCTTCAGCTGCGTGGCTGCCAGCCGCCATCTTGGTTAGCAGTTAATTTGCATATCGCCCTGATTAGCCAATGGGAAGCGTATCAGAGGTACAGTTAATTACCCTATTTGTCTTTTATTAGATAGGATTTGTATAAACCTAGGCTTTCATTTCTCTTGGGTAATACCTAGAAATAGAATGACTGGGTCATGTGGTAAAGTATAACTTATTTTAAAAATGCCAAACTTTTTCCCAAAATGATTATACAATTTTACATTCCTATCAGTGGTGCATGAGAGTTATTCTTCATCCTTGTTAAGAAGGATAATCAGGCCCTAGCTGGTTTGGCTCAATGGGCGTCAGCCTGCAGACTGAATGGGTCCCAGGTTCGATTCTGGTCAAGGGCACATGCCCGGGTTGCAGGTTTGGACCCCAGTAAGGGGCATGCAGGAGGCAGCCGATCAATGATTCTCTCTCATCATTGATGTTTCTATCTCTCTCTCCCTCTTCCTTCCTCTCTGAAATCAATAAAAATATATTTTTTTAAAGAAGGATAATCAGTCTTTTTAATTTTAGCCATTCTAATAAGAATAGTGGTGTCTTGATGTGGTTTTAATATGCATATTTCTAATAACCAGTGATGTTAAACATCTTTTCTTGTGTAAGTCCTCCAATTTTATTCTTCTTTATAATAGTTGTTTTGGCCCTGGCTGGTTTGACTCGGTGGATGAAGCGAGTTTCGATTCCCCAGTTGCAGGCTCAGTTCCCAGTAGGGGGAGTGCAGGAGGCAACCGATCAATGATTCTCTCTCATTATTGATGTTTCTATCTATCTCTCTCTCCCTCTCCCTTCCTCTCTGAAATCAATAAAAATATTTTTTAAAGTTGTTTTGGCCCCTCTAGGTAGTTTATACTTTCATACAGATTTTAAAATCAGCTTGTCACTTTCTACAAAAATGCCAGCTAAGATTATAATTGGAATTGTATAGAATCTGTAGATCAATTTGGGGAGGATTGACATTTTATTTATTTATTTTTTTTAATATTTTATTGATTTTCCACAGAGAGGAAGGGAGAGGGACAGAGAGTCAGAAACATCGATGAGAGAGAAGCATCGATCAGCTGCCTCCCGCACACTCCCCACTGGGGACGTGCCCGCAACCAAGGCACATGCCCTTGACCGGAACCAAACCCGGGAACTTTCAGTCCGCAGGCCGATGCTCCATCCACTGAGCCAAACCGGTTCGGCGAGGATTGACATTTTAAATTGATCTTCTATACATGAATATGGCATACTTTCCATTTAGTTAGGTCTCTAAATTCTTCCAGCAATGTTTTATAGTTTCCATTGTACAGATCTTTTACATCTTTAGTTAGATCGATCCCTGGTTATTTCTGGATGCTTTGTAAATGATGTGTTTTTTACCTTTCAGCTTTTGGTTGTTCTTTGCTAATGTGTAGAAATACAGTGTATTTTCAATATTGATCTTATATCTTGCAACCTTACTAAATAAATAAACTCACTAGTTCTAGTAACTATTTTGTAGATTCCTTAGTATTTTCTACATAGATGGTCAGCTGCTAATAAAAATAATTATACTTCCTTTCCAGTTTAGATGCCATTTCCTTCTTTTCCTTGCACCATTGTACTGTACACTACCTTCCACTACAGTGCTGATGGAAGTGTTGAGGGCAGGCATCTTTACCTTGATCCTTATCTTCTTGGGAAAGTATTTGGTCTTAAACCATTATTTGTGAAGTTAGGTGTAGGTTTCCTAGATGACTTTTTTTAGGTTGAGAAAATTCTCTTAAATTACTGAATGGGTTTGTTTTTTTTTTTAAATATATTTTTATTGATTTCAGAGAGGGAGAGAGATAGAAACATCAATGATGAGAGAGAATCATTGATTGGCTGCCTCCTGCACACCCCCTACCGGGACCGAGCCCACAACCAGGGCATGTTCCCTGACCAGGAATCGAACCAGACTCCTAGTTCATAGGTCAATGCTCAACCACTGAGCCACACTGGTTGGGTCAGTTTCCCTTTATAAAAGTTAAATTTTAGCCTTATGGGTTTAATGTTTTTTGAGTTTGTTTGTTTTTTAAATTTTTGTTAATTCTCAAGGATATTTTTCCATTGATTTTTAGAGATAGTGGAAGAGAGAGCGAGAGACAGAGAGAGAAACATCTATGTGAGAGAGATACATTGATTGGTTGCCTCCTGTATGTACCCCGACCAGGGCTGGGTATCGAGCCTGCAACCAAGGTACGTGCCCTTGACAGGAATCAAACCTGGGACCCTTCAATCCGCAGGCCGACACTCTTATCCACTAAGTCAAACCAGCTAGGGCTAATGTAATTTTAAATGATATAATAAAGTATAATGTAAGGATTACTGTTTCATTAGGGAATAAACACATTAAAGCCTTGTAAAAATACTGCCAGTATAAGTGGAAATTTTCATACATTAGGCAGTGTCTTGGATTTCATTAATTAGTACTATACTTACTATGTGCCAGGTATATAGTAACATTTACTAACATATTTAATTCTCCAAATAATAATATGAGGTGGATACCATTATTATCCCCATTTCCAGATGAGAAAACTGAGGCATAGACGGGTTAAGTGATATATATGTCCAAGGTCATGTAGCTGGTGAGTTTGGAAGATGGGGTTGGGTCCTAGGCAGTTTGGTTCTAGGTCCAGCCTCTTAACCATAGCATTCTACTATCCTTTCTCTGAACCAAATAGAAGCATCTGCTATACATAATCTTTTCTCAACAAGTGCATTGTCCTGTGCAACAAGCCCTAGGAAGAGTGTTGTGCTGAAGTTTGGTACTTTGCTTCTAGTACCCAAGAGTAATGGTGGCACCATTTATCTAGCTTCCCAAGCTCCATAATTTCCCCTCCTGCGTCAGGTCTACTGTTTACAAATCCTCCCTATTACATTTCCTAAATATCATTTAGCTTTGTTGGTTCCTCTGTGCTCTCACTGTTCCCACTATCTTGATCCTGGCTCTCAGTTTCTGGGTTGATTAGTCTGTTTTCTGTTCTCTGCACTTCTAGTCTTTATTCCAGGAAGCAGTATTTTTTTTTTTTTTTTAAGAAAGAGAGTGGAAGGGAGAGGGGAGAGAGAAGCATCCTGTGGTTGCCTCCCAAAACTGATCCGACTGGGGCCAGGGATCGAGCCTGCAACTGGTGTACGTGCCCTTGACCTCAGTCAAAACCAGACCCTTCAGTCCACAGGCTGATGCTTTATCCACTGAACCAACCTGGCTAGGGCAACAGTATTTTTTTAAAAACTAACATACTTATCAGGTTGATTTTACCACTACTATGATTGTAAAATGTTTAATAACACCCATTTCTACAAGACCAAATACAGACTTTATCATGGCTTACAAAAACCCTCTATCTACTTTCCCTCTGTAATCTTCAGTGCCATAGTCCCAGAAGGCTCTCTGAATATACTATGTTCTTTTATGCCTCTCATGCCTTGATCCATGCTCTTCCCTTTTTATTTGAAACTAGTGTCAGCCTGCGGACTGAAAGGTCCCAGGTTTGATTCCAGTCAAGGGCATGTACCTTGGTTACACATCACCTAGTAAAGATTTGCTCATCCTACAAGCGCAAATTCATTCTGTAGTGTCTATAAATCCTTCTCTGACTTACTCAGGTGAAATCATCTGTTTCTGTTGCTCCCATAGTAGTTTGTACCTCCTTCTAATGTAAAATTTGTGTGGGAGGGGGGGCCCAGCCTGCACCCTCTCCAATCTGGGACCCCTTGGGCAATGTCCAACTGCCAGGGATCGGGCCCTGCCCCCCTGCTGGCCTGGTCACCCCCAACTGCCCCTTCCCCGTTGGCCTGGTCGCCCCTCACAACCTCCCCACTGGCCTGATTGTCACACACTGCCTACTGTTCAGTTGTGTAGTCATCCCTCACTAACCTCTCAGCCGGCCTGGTCGCCCCATGCAGCCTGCTGTCCTGTCATTTGGTCACCCCTCACTAACCCCCCTGCCAGCCTGGTCATAGGCAGCCATCTTTGTGAGGGCATGAGGGTTAATTTGCATATTACCTCTTTATTATATAGGATTCACTTTCTTACACATCACCTAGTAAAGATTTGCTCATCCTACAAGCGCAAATTCATTCTGTAGTGTCTATAAATCCTTCTCTGACTTACTCAGGTGAAATCATCTGTTTCTGTTGCTCCCATAGTAGTTTGTACCTCCTTCTAATGTAATATTCATCATATTGTATTATAGTTTTTCTCATTTCCTTCAGTGGACTTCGGCTATCTCCTATTACATACACATTGTTTGGCAGGTAGATGCTCAATATTTTTTAATTAATGAATAAATATATTAAATTCTTGAACCTTTTTCCATAGGTGCTGCAGACGATTACAATAGAATTGGTTCTTCATTATATGCTTTAGGAACTCAGGATTCTACAGATATATGCAAGTAAGGATTCTGATTTTTAAAAAACAGTAAATATAGCCCTAACCGGTTTGGCTCAATGGATAGAGCGTCAGCCTGCGGACTGAAAGGTCCCAGGTTCGATTCCAGTCAAGGGCATGTACCTTGGTTGCGGGCACATCCCCAGTGGGGAAGTGTGCAGGAGGCAGCTGATCGATGTTTCTCTCTCCTCGATGTTTCTACTCTATCCCTCTCCCTTCCTCTCTGTAAAAAAATCAATAAAATATATTAAAAAATAAAATTAAAATTAAAAACAGTAAATATAAATAAAACAAAATTTTGTTGGCAGGCTGGACACACACAATACTTCAGACCCAGTAGACATTTTAGAATATTTTTCTCAAAACACATTGATAACAAGGAGCTTCTCTAAGTCCGTGTCAATTTTTAAAATCTGGAAAATAAAAATGGACCTTAATGTATGTATGTTTTAACTTTACAAAGTTTCACTTGATGAAAATGGGCTAGTGTGTGTGTGTATAAGGGTGAGATGGAGAGACAGACTTTATGTCAAAATATTCTTAGGTTTTGATAATGTTTATTATAAATTAAAAATGCTATTTGGAATTACATGTATTTCATAGAAGGCCATATTGACTCTTTTTTTTTTTTTTTTATTTTAGAGAGAAAGAGAAACATTGATGTGAGAGAGAAACATTGATCGGTTGCCTCCCCCATGTACACTGACCAAGAATCTAATTCGCCATCTTTCAGTATACAGGATGACTTTCCAATCAACTGAGCCACACCTGCCAGGGCCAAATTGACTGTTTGTTCATTTGTTTGTTTGTTTTTTAATCCTCACCTGCGGACATGCTTAAAAAGAGGAAGGGAGGGAGGGAGAGAGAGAGAGAAACATATAAAAGTGAGAAGATAGAAACATTGATTGGAGGCTGCCTTTCATATGTGTCCTGACTAACCATCAGCCTTTCAGTGCACAAGACAGTGAATGCTTAGCCAACTGAGCCACCCTGTCTGGGCCCAAATTGACTTTTTTTTTTAATATATTTTTATTGATTTCAGAGAGGAAGGGAGAGGGAGAGAGAGATAGAAACATCAATGAGAGAGAATCATTGATTGGCTGCCTCCTGCACGCCCCCCCACTGGGGAGGATGGAGCCCACAACCCAGGCATGTGCCCCTGGCCAGAATCTAACCTGGACCCTTCAGTCCACAGGCCAACGCTCTATCCACTGGGCCAAACCAGCTAGGGCACCAAATTGACTTTTAAAGTGATATTTAATGCTATCAGTTTGCACTTTTTAAAGAGGCTGGCTATTCTAGTTTTTATAATTTAGTGAATGTTAAGGCAGTCAGATGAGGAAGGTGTTTGCATGTTAGTGTAACGTCACCCTCTGGAAGTTTGCCTACACATGCCTTTACGGTATGCTAGTTTTTCACTTTAATTTTAATCTAACGGGATTTAATTTTAGTTGCTTCTATAGTATTGTTTTAACCCAACTCTTTAGTGAAAAATAATTCACTTCTTTTTAAATGTTAAGTGAGAAAACTATGTTCATTGTTCATGCCTTTCTCTAAACCACATCCTTGAACTTTTCCTCTAATGTAGTCTCTCAGTAAACATGTAAGATCCAAGTTTTTCAGCAAAGCAAGGTACCATAGCTTACACTAATTAACATGCTGCCTTCCCAAAGAGTTAGTTCTTAATTCTTTGATAACAAGAAAAAAAGGGCAACCTTGCTAAGTGTTATCTGACAGAAACCTGTCAAAGCAAGTTCTTTGAAGTAAAGTGACGTTCATAAAATTGTGTTTTAGCTTTCAATAGTATTTGCCCTAATCCAATTATAGTGCCATCTATAGTTACATATTTTACAGAATACTCTTTAGTAGTTTTGCATTGGGTTTTTTTTACTTGGTGGTTAACACTCGTGAGAGGCTGTTTAGTTAAAAGTGAAAGTGAATTCTAAAATAGAAGTTGGTTACTGATTTCTGTTGTTTTTCAAAACAAAGCAGCTCTATTTGAAAATGTTTAAAACATAGCTATCAGCCCTGACTGGTTTGGCTCAGTGGATAGAGCGTCAGCCTGCGGACTCAGGGGTCCCAGGTTCGATTCTGGTCAAGGGCATGTGCCTTGGTTGCGGGCACATACCCAGTGGGGAGTGTGCAGGAGGCAGCTGATCGATGTTTCTAGCTCTCTATCCCTCTCCCTTCCTCTCTGTGAAAATCAATAAAATATATATTTTTTAAAAAACATAGATATCAGATATCTTCAAAAACTACTCCTGCTTCATTGTTTTCCATTTAAATCAGGCTTTTGTCTCTTTGGATGTGATTGTTTTGTACTTCTGTAATAATGTGAAGGTATGGGTTTCATTTAGTATTATGGAGCATATTACTAAAGAATAGCAATACAAAGTTTTTAGGTTTTATTGTATGACTTAGACTGTTATCTAAAAATGGGAAGATTTTCTGTAACAACAGATTTCAAGTAATTTGTTATGGGTGGAAGTACAAAGATATTTTTGTTAAATGAAGAAAATAAGACCATTAAATATTACTGTAATGAGGCAAGAATGTTCATTATTCATTTGGTTTGGGGCATTATGTATTCTCTGGACATTTGAGAAATAGAAAGTTATTTAAAAGTAGCTTCTGATTAAATACTTTTCTCTTCCAGATTTTTTCTCAAAGTTTCAGAACTGTTTGATAAAACGAGAGTAAGTACTGTTACTTAACCTTTGATAGTCCACACCTCTGCATACAGCTGTGCTTAACTTATTTAGCTTTATTGAGGAAGAAGAGTGGTCCAACAGATTTAGATGTGAAAATTGGAGTTTTTCAGGAAAGTTGGTTTTTGTTGCAGCCTTTTGGTATTTATGTAGATGTCTGTATTCCATCAGAAAACATGTTTATCAGAAGACTGGGTTTATTTTCATGAAGAATGACCCTTCCCTGGGACTTTGTAAGCTAGAAGAAAGTTAGATTCATTGTACCTTGACCAAGACTATATTGCTTTTGATCCCCCTTGACACATTGATTTAAAGTGAGTTGTATCAAATATACAACTGCAACCCTCGCTGGTTTGACTCAATGGATACAGCGTCAGCCTGCGGACTAAAGGGTCCTGGGTTCGATTCCAGTCATGGGCACATGCCCAAATTGAGGGCTCGATCCCCACTAGGGGGCATGCAGGAGGCAACTGATCAGTGATTCTCTCTCATCATTGATGTTTTTCTCTCTCTCTCTCTCCCCCTCCCTTCCTCTCTGAAATCAATAAAAATATATTTTTTAAAATGATATACAGTTTAAAAATATACACACACACACACAACTGCAGAAGGTTTCATTCATGGTAGTAGTAATTTAATAATGACATAATCTTGGTTTTCGAGGATTGGTCCTAGATATAATACATTTTTATCACTTGATAGAATAGTGAAAATGTTTATTAGATGATTAATAGTATTTAGCTGAGAGTGGTAGTGTCTAGTCCATTGTAGAAATCTGATTTCAACATGACCTTTTTAATTGAGTGATAATGTAGTAGAGACGAGTAAAAGAAAAGAAGATATTCTCTCACAAAGGAAAAAGTTTTTAAATATATAAATGTCGTTATACTGGGGTCCGTATAGCCCATTATTCTGCCCTTGCTATTTGTACAAGTGAACATTTTCTAGGAAGATAGGTTTTTTTGTGTGTGCATTTACATCATCAGAATAGGGATCTGTATCAAAATAGCCTTATGTCAGATCTTTTTTGTTATTGTTAATTCTCACCTGAGGATATTTTTTCATTGATTTTTTTTTTTTTTTTTTTTTTTTTTTTTTTTGAGAGAGTGGAAGGGAGGGAAGGAGAGGGGCTAGAGAGAGAGATACAGAAACATCAATGCGAGAGGGCCACATCCAACAGTTGCCTCCCTTGCACACCCCAACCATAGGCAGGGGTCAAACCTACAATCCAGGTATGTGCCTTTGACCAGAAATCGAACCAATGACCCTTTGGTGCGTGAGCCGATGCTCTAACCACTGTGCTACACCAGAAAGGGCTATATGTCAATTCTTTTTTAATATGTTTTTATTGATTTCAGAGAGAGAGAGAGAAACATCGATGAGAGAGAAACATTGACCAGCTGCCTCCTGCATGCCCCCTATTGGGGATGGAGCCCGCCACCCAGGCATGTGTCCTGACCTAGAATCGAACCAGCGACCTCCTGGTGCATGGGATGGCACTTAACCAACTGGACCACACCTGCCTGGCTATGTGTCAGTTCTTTTAGAAGCAGATGTCAAGATGGGATTAGATGTGCAGGAGATTTATTGTGAGGATCAAAGAGGAAGGAGCGAGAATAGACAGGAAGAGCCTACAGACCACAATGCAGGTCTACACCTGTGAAAGAAGAGGGCAGAGGAAAGAGGACTAAGTAGGAAGAGTTCCAAATTGTAGCAGAGTTCTAAGAATGTTCCGTCCAGGTCAGAGAGGAGGAGTCTTTGAGCCAGAGTTGCCCATTAAAGGAATTCTGCGTCAGGCAGAAATGGACTGGCACTACTTCCCACTGTGCTTTGTCATTGTCTGGGTACAGCCGAGACAAGAAGGGGAGGATGGCAGATTGCCTTGGTACGAAGCTGGTTCTGGATCCAGAGAAATTGCAGTTGAGACTACCAGTCAACTATGCTCCTTGGAGTAAGCAGTTTCTCTTGAAGGAGATCTGAGTGGTGCATTTCCATAGCCACCACAATCCTTATTTCTTTTAGTATTTGTATGGTATTCTGGTTATTCTTGCTGTGTAACAAAGCATCCTGAACCATTTTATTATGCTAATGAATTCTTTGGGTCAGGAATTCAGAAAGGGCACATCCCTGATGGCGCGCTTCTGCTCCATGGTGACCTCAATAGGGAAGATATGAAGGCTGGGGACTGGAATCATCTGAAGGCTCTTTCACTCATGTCTGGGGTTGATTCTGGCTGTCAGCTGAGACTTCTGTTAGGGCTATTAGCTGTAACACCTACACATGGCTTTTCCAAGGAATTGTTGAGGCTTCCTCACAACACAGTGGGTAGGTTCTGAAAGTGAGAATCCCAGCCCAACTGGTGTGGCTCAGTGGTTGAGCATTGACCTATGAACCAGGAAATCATGGTTTAATTCCCAGTCAGGGCACATGCCCAGTTTGCTCGCTCGATCCCCAGTGGAGGGCATGCAGGAGGCAGCCAATCAATGATTCTCTCTCATCATTGATGTTTCTAGCTCTTTCTGTCCCTTTCTCTCTGAAATAAATTAATTAATTAAGTGGGCATCCCTAATGGTGGGAAGTGGAAGCTGCTAGTTTAATAAGACCTAAGTCTGGAAACTGCCACAGCATCACTTTGTGTCAGTCAAGCAGTCTCAGAGCTCAGATTCAGGGGAAGGGCACTTGCCTTACTTCTTAATGTAAGAAGAGCCTTGTTTAAAAGCATCCAGCATCCATATAGCACAGTGATGGCGAATCTTTTGAGCTCAGCGTGTCAGCATTTTGAAAAACCCTAACTTAACTCTGGTGCCGTGTCACATATAGAAATTTTTTGATATTTGCAACCATGGTAAAACAAAGATTTATATTTTTGATATTTATTTTATATATTTAAATGCCATTTAACAAAGAAAAATCAACCAAAAAAATGAGTTCGAGTGTCACCTCTGGCACGCGTATCATAGATTCTCCATCACTGATATAGCATGTAATCTCAATCTGTCTAAATTGATATATCTCCATCATTTTTGGATATTCTTTGTGTCTATGCTTTTATCTATTGGGTTACAAAGTTTACTACGTTTATTTCTCCATAAAGTAATACTATTTAGAAACTTCAGAACTTTGTATTGAAGTATATTATACATATAGGAAACAGCACATATCAGAAGTGTACTTTTCAGTGAAATTTTTGTTTAACCTTTATTGTTGAGAGTTTTACAGATGTCTGCCCTTTACCTCCCAACCCACCTAGTTCCCTCCCCATCTCAGTGAAATTTTACAAATTTAACACATCTATGTAATGAACACCCAAATCAAGAAAGAGAACATTACCAGCAACCCAGATGCCCTTCCTAGCTACCAACTCCTTTAAGACTAACCACTATCCTAGCTTCTAACAGCATAGATTAGTTTCATTTTCATATTTCCTATAAATGCAGTATGCATTCTTTTGTGTCTAGTTTCATTTAGTCAATATTATGTACATAAGATTCGTCCATGTCGTTACATGTAGGTGTATTTCCTTCACTCTTACTACTGTATAGTATGCTATTGCAAGGATATACTAAATTTATCTGTTCTCCTGTTGGTAGAGCATTTGGATAGTTTCTAGTTTGGAGCTCTTTACAAATGGTACTGCTAAGACCATTCTTGTATATCTTCAGTTGAACATAGTGCACTTTTCTGTTGGGTGTACGTAACTAGAAGGGGAATTGGTGGGTCCCAGGGTATCCATGTGAAAAGATTTTGTAGATACTGCCAAACTGTTTCTAAGTGATTGTAACAGTTTACATTCCCACCAGAAGGAATGAGCATTGGGTTGCTACACAAGCTTGTAATACTTGGTACCATTTTTATTTTAGCTATTCTGGTGGATGTGCATGGTTCTTTTTATTTTAACTATAGTTATTTATACCTTTAATTATTTACAGTAATTAAGAAAGAAAACACTGAGTGTAGAATATAAGTGATGAATAAATGCCAATTTTCTTCCCCTTTTTCAGAAAATAGAAGCACGAGTGTCTGCTGACGAGGACCTCAAACTTTCTGACCTTTTAACATATTACTTAAGAGAATCTCAAGCTGCTAAGGTAACTTTATTGTTGGAGTGTTTTTGTTTTGTTTTTTTGTGGTTTTTAAAAATATTTTTATTGACTTCAAAGAGGAAGGGAGAGAGAGAGGGAAACATCAATGATGAGAGAAAATCATTGATTGGCTGTCTCCAGCACTCGCCCTACTGGGGATTGAGCCCTTGACCAGAATCAAACCCAGAACCCTTCAGTCTGCAGGCCAACACTCTATCCACTGAGCCAAACCAGCTAGGGTTGTTGATTGTTTTTTTTAAATGAACTATTTAACAAAAAGCCATCTCTTTATAGTTGTTAGACTTAAGATTGTCAAAGATGATTTATCTCTTGATTTTAAATTATATTTTCCTATCTTTCTTTCTTTAATTTATTGATTTGAGAGAGAGAGGAAAGGAGAGAGAAACATGGATTTATTTTTCCACTTATTTATGCATTTGTTGATTGATTCTTGTATGTGCCCGACTGGGATTCGAACCCACAGCCTTGGCTTATCGGAGCAACACTCTAACCACCTGAGATACCTGGTCTTGGCTAAAGTATGTTTCTAAGTCTGATTTTTAGAAATTGTAAGTCAGGGGTAAATAAAAATTTCCTTGGTAAACTTCGGGTATAATATAGTCTAAAACTTTTTTTATGAATTTGGTTTACTTATTCCAGAAAAATGCCTGCAAAGACAAAAGTAAAACACCCAAATAACCCAGCAGGCGTGGCTCAGTGGTTGAGCTTCGACCTATGAACCAGGAGGTCACAGTTCAATTCCTGGTCAGGGCACATGCCCGGGTTGCAGGCTTGATCCCCAGTAGGGAGCATGCAGGAAGCAGCCGATCAATGATTCTCTCTCATCATTGATGTTACTATCTCTCTCCCTCTCTGCAATCAATACAAATATATTTTTTAAAAATAACAGGTGTATAGCTAAAGGATTCCTAATTTGGTCTATATAAGTCCGCTATTGAAGGTGAGAGAGAGAGATCCATAAAACAAGAATAGGTTTTATTTTAAGGCAACTCAAGTTTCCTTTTGGAAATCTGCTTAGGTACAAGACTAAAACTTACTAATCAAAAACATGTTTAGCAAAAACATCTTAAAAGCACAGAAAAGAGGCATTGAACAAACCAACCTCAGGGGTACGAGGGTTAGGGGGTAAGCAATCCATAACAGGACTTGTATGCATGCATATCAGCATAACCCATGGACACAGTCAGTAGGAGGGGTGAGGGCATGGGGTGGGGGGGGGTGGGAACAAGCGGGGAGAAGTCAATAGGGGAGAAAGGATTCATATGTAATACTTTAAACAATAAAGAATTTTTTTTTTAAAAGCATAGAAAACTTAGTGACTCAAATACTCCAAAATCAATGTTAATTTATCAATTGATATATTGCACAGAAAATTCTCATTTGACCAGTGGTGCTTTGAACACCATTCTTTCATTTCTTATTAAATTATAAAAAATTCTTTTAAATTTGAGGACTTGGGTACTTGCAAATATACCATCCATATAAAATTATTTTAAATCAGATTGTGTCTTATAAACGATTTACATTGGATGGGCTAGGATAAAATGAATTGGTCACTTTTGAAGACTTTTAATTTATTATAATATATAGTTGTTAATAGAAAACCTTTAGAACAGAACATCGCTTTAAAAGTAAATCCAAATTTTTTTAGTAATCTTAAGAAAGAATTGAAACTTGCTGTAGCCGGTTTGGCTCAGTGGGAACCGAAGGGTCCCAGGTGTGATTCAGGTCAAGGGCATGTACCTCGATAGCAGGCTCTTCCCCAGCCCGGGCCCTGGTTTGGGCACGTGCATGAGGTAACCCATCTATGTGTTTCTCTCACATCAATATTTCTCTTTGTCTTTCCCTCTCTCCTCCATCCTCTCTAAAAATCAGTGGAAAACATATCCTCGGGTGATGATTTTTTTTTTAAAATGTAAACTTAATTGTAAGAATAAAAAACAAACACACTACAATTGCATATCACCATACTCTTTAATTAGAATGACTAAAATGGAAAAATTCTGACAAAAATTATAGCAACTGGCCCTGGCCGTGAGGCTCAGTTAGTTGGGGGTCATCTGTACAATGAAGGGCTGCTGGTTTGATTCCGATTCCTGGTGTGGGGCATGCAGGCGGCAGCTGATCAATGTTGGGCTTTCACATTGATGTTCTCTCTTCTCCCTTCCTCTCTCTCTAAATATCAATAAACTATTTTGAAAAATTATAGCAACTGGAACTTTCACACACAGTAGAAATATGATGCAATACTTTGAAAAAGTGTAACAGTTTCTTTAAAACGTAAGCATAGACTACCCTATGATCCAGTAATTTCAGTTTAGGTATTTTAAAGCATATGTCCCCACAGATGTTCACATCTGCTTTATTTGTAATAGCTGAAAACTGGCAACAACAACCCAAATGTCCACCAACAGGTGAGTGGATAAACCAATTGTGGTATAGCCAGCCATACAGTGGAATGTTACTCAGCAATAAAAAGGAATGAACATCTCATTCAAGCAGCAACATGGATGAATTTAAAAAGATGGTGAAAAAAGCCAAACTATAGAGAACGTAGTTTATACTAGAATTCACTCTGTGTTGTACCTTCTGTTGGTTTTAACAAATGTGTGATGACATGTACTCACCGTTATGAGTGTCATCCGGAATAGTTTCACTGCCCTAAAAGTCCTCCGTGCTCCACCTATTCATCCTCCTTCCTCCTAACCCCTGTTGGTCTTTATACTTGTCACCTTTTCCAGAATGTCATATAGTTGGGCCTTTTCAGACTGGCTTTTCCCATTTAGTAATACACATGTAAGTTTCCTCTATGTCTTTTCATAGCTTCATAACTCATTTCCTTTTAGCACTGAGTAGTATTCCATTGTGTGGATGTACCAAGGTTATTTGTCCACTGACCTACTGAAGGACATCTTGGTTGCTTCCAGTTTTTGGCAATTATGAGTAAAGCTGCTATAGACATTCATGTGCAGGTTTGGGGTGGACATAAGTTTTTAACTCTTTTGAGTAAATACCAAGGAGCACAATTGCTAGATCATATGGAAAGAGTGTGCTTAGTTCTGCCAAACCGTTTTCCAAAGTAGCTGTTTATTTTGCATTTCCGAGAGTTCCTGTTGCTTCTCATCCTTACCGGCATTGGGTGTTGTCAGTGTGGATTTGGCCATTCTAAAAGGTGTGTGATGGTATCTCATTGTTCCAATTTGCATTTCCCTGATGACAAGTGATGTGAAGCATATTTGTCATCTCTGTATCTTCTTTGGTGAAGTGTCTGTTTTTAAAATTGCCCTTTGGCCGATTTTTAAATTGAATTCATTTCCTGTTGTTGAATCATAAGAGTTCTTTGTATATTTTAGGTAGCAATCCTTTATCAGATGTGTCTTTCGTAAATATTTTGTCTTAGTCTGTGGCTTGTCTTCTCATCCTCTAGACAGTGTCCTTTGCATAGCAGAAACTTTTTTTATCCTTACAAGGAAATGTTTTTATTGATTTTTAGAGAGAGAGGAAGGGAGAGAGAGAGAAACATCAATCAGTTGTCAACCAGGGATCAAACCTGCACCTTTTTGGTGTACGGGATGAAACTCCAAGCAGCTGAGCCACCCAGCCAGGGCTGTAGAGCAGAAAATTTTAATTTTAAAGAACTCCACCTTATCAATTATTTCTTTCATAGATCATGCCTTGAGTGATCACCAAACCCAAGATCATCTGGATTTTCTCCTACACTATCTTCTAGGTGTTTTGTAGTTTTACCTTTTACATATAGGTCTGTGATCTACTTTAAGTTAATTTTTGTAAAGGGTATAAGTTCTGTGTATGAATTTATTTCTTTGCATGTGAATGTCGTTTTCCCAGCACCATTTGCTGAAAAGATTTTTCTCCACTGTATTGCCTTTGCTCCTTTATTAAAGATTAGTTGACTATAGGTCTAGTGCTGGGCTTTATTTTGTTCTATGGATCTATGTGTCTATCTTTTTTTCTACCAGTACCACGTTGGAGCCAGGTACCACACTGTTTAGATTATTGTAGCTTTATAGTGTAAGAAATAAGGCGAGCCCCCAAATTCAGGGGTCCTGGTAGAACACAAAACATACTCGGGAGTCAGGCAGCAAGGCAAACATCTTTACTTCTACATAGAAGAATGCGCAGCACATGGTCTAGAACAGCGGTTCTCAGCCTGTGGGTCGCGACCCCTTTGGGGGTCAAATGACCGTTTCACAGGGGTCGCCTAAGACCATCGGAAAACACATATATAATTACATATTGTTTTTGTGATTAATCACTATGCTTTAATTATGTTCAATTTGTAACAATGAAATTGGGGGTCACCACAACATGACGAACTGTATTAAAGGGTTGCGGCATTAGGAAGGTTGAGAACCACTGGTCTAGAAGCACATGCACACAGAGCAGGCTGTCTACTTGGCTTTTTAATTCTGACGCACGTGACCTGTCCCTCACTCTTGATTGGAGCTCAGGCGCACAGTCTTGCGATTGGCTAATTTGAAGGGAGGGATTGACCTTTGCCATTTAAAGATGGCGGCCAACAAGGCAGCTGCCTAAACTGTTCTTTGACAGAAAAAGTTACTTGTTTATTCTCACAATAGTAAGGCTTCAATTTCAATTAGGTAATGTCGGTCCTCAGAGTTTGTTCTTCTCCTTTAATATTGCGTTGGTTATTCTGTGTCTTTTGCCTCTTCACATAAACTTTAGGACCATTTTCTTGATAATTACAAAAAAAAAGTTTTCAGCTTTTACAAATAAAGCTGATTTGAATCTAAATCTCAAGTGGGAAAGAATTGATTTTGACAATATTGAGTTTCCTTATCCATCAACATGGCATATCTCTGCATTTACTTAGTTCTTTGATTTCTTTTATCATTTTTTCAGTTTTCCTCCTACAGGTTTTGTGTATATTTTGTTAGATCGATACCTAAGTATTTTATTTTCTGGAGTGCTAATGGTATTGTATTTTTAATTTCAGGTTTTATTTGTTCATTGCTGGTATATAAGATAGCAGTTGACTTTTGTTTATTAATGTTGTATCCTACAACCTTATTATTCTTATTTATTAGTTCAGGAGAGGTTTTTTATGTGTTTTTTCTTTTTTCAGATTTCTACATAAACAGTCATGTCATCTATTTATTTCTTCCAAATCTGTATACTTCTTATTTCCTTTTCTGATTGCATTAGCTAGGACTCCCAGTTCAGTGTTGAGAAGGAGTGGTGATATTGGACATCCTTGTGTTGTTCCTAATATTAGTAGGAAAGTTTATAATTTCCCACCATTAAATCTGATATTACTTGTAGGTTTTTAGTAGATGTTTTTATCAAGTTGAGGAAGTTCCTTCTATTCCTAGTTTTCTGAGACAGTCAATTGATTGTTGACAAGGGTGCTAACACAGTGTAGTGGAGAAAAGAAAAGTCTTTGCCCTAACTGATTTGGCTCAGTGAATAGAGCATCAGCCTGTGGACTGAAGGGTCCTGGGTTCGATTCCGGTCAAGGGCACATGCCTGAGTTGCAAGCTCGGTCCGACTTGCAGGAGGCAACCAATCAATGATTCTCTCATCATAGATGTTTCTATCTCTCTCTTCCTCTTCCTTCCTCTCTGAAATCAATAAAAATATTTTTTTTTAAAAAAAAGAAAGGAAAGACTTTAACAAATGATATTGGACAACTGAATAGTCACATGAGAAAGAATAAAGTTGGACCCCTCACATCACATATAAAAATGCACTCAAGCCGAAACCGGTTTGGCTCAGTGGATAGAGCGTCGGCCTGTGGACTGAAGGGTCCCAGGTTCGATTCCGGTCAAGGGCATGTACCTGGGTTGCGGGCACACCCCCAGTAGGAGATGTGCAGGAGGCAGCTGATCAATGTTTCTCTGTCATCGATGTTTCTAACTCTCTCTCTCCCTTCCTCTCTGTAAAAAATCAATAAAATATATTTTTAAAAAAATGCACTCAAAATGGCCCCAGCCAGTGTGGCTCCCTTGGTTGGAGCATTGTCATGTGCAGTCGAGGTGCATGGAGAAGGCAACCAATCCATGTTGGTCCATGTTTCTCACCTCAGTGTCTGTCTGTCTCTCTCTCCCTCCCTCCCTCTCTCACTCTCCCTTTCCTTTCTCTAAAATCAATAAAGAAAACATATCCTCAGATGGGAATTAAATATCCTATATAATAAAAGGCTAATATGCAAATCGACCAAACGGCGGAACAACTGGTCACTATGATGCTCACTGACCAGCAGGGGGCAGGTGCTCAGTGGAGGAGCTGCCCCCTGGTGGTCAGTGTGCTCCCACAGGGGGAGCACCACTCAGCCAGAAGCCGTGCTCATGGCTGGCGAGCACAGCGGCAGTGGCAGGAGCCTCTCCTGCCTCTGTGGCAGCACTAAGGAGCCATCAGTCGGACATCCCCCGAGGGCTCCCAGACTGCAAGAGGGACCAGGCCGGGCTGAGGGACCCCACCCCCACCCACCCCAAGTGCATGAATTTTGTGTACTGGGCCTCTAGTATATATATAATATATCTATATAAAACCCTAATATGCAAATCAACCCAATGGCGAAACGACCAGTCGCTATGACGAGCACTGACCACCAGGGGGCAGACACTCAACACAGAAGCTGCCCACAGGCCCCCACCAGCGGTGGCGGGGGATGGGGCCGGCGAGTGAGCAGCACCAGGCCAGCCAAGGCAGGTGCAAGTGGGGGGCCCCCTGATCGCCCCATCAGTCACTCTGTGGCCCATGGCAGAGGGTGGGGCCAGCGAGCAGGCAGTACCAGGCCAAGCCGGGTATGAGTGGGGACCCTGATCACCCCACCAGTCGCCCCACAGATCCAACCTGATCGCTGGCCAGGCCTAGGGACCCTACCCATGCACAAATTTCGTGCACCAGGCTTCTAGTTTAGCCATAAAAGGAAGGTACTGATTCATGCTGTAACACAGATGAATTTGAAACTTTATGCAAAGTTTAAAAGGCCATATGAAAGTCCAGCCGGTGTGGCTCAGTGGTTGAGTGTCAACCTATGAACCAGGAGATCACTGTTCAATTCATGGTCAGGGCACACACTCAGATTTTCAGCTCCATCACCAGTAGGGGGCGTGCAGGAGGCAGCCAATCAATGATTCATTCTGATCATTGAAGTTTCTCTCTCCCTCTCCCTTTCTCTCTATGAAATCAATAAAAACATACTTTAAAAAAAAGCCATACACTTTTTAATGACATGTCCAGAATAGACAAATCTGTAGAGAAAGAAACCATTAATGTTTGGAGCGGGGGTTGAAGATGGAGAGTCACTATTAATGGATATGGGGTTTGTTTTGGGGGTGACAACAAATAGTCTAACATTGATTGTAATTATGGTTCAACAACTCAGTGAGCATCCTAAAAGCCATTGTATTGTGCATTCTGAATGAGTGAGCTATGTGGTATATGAATTATATCCCACTAAAGCTGTTATTTAAAAAAATACAAGAGTAGCTGGCATGTGGTATTCACAGTGTAAGTGTTATCTCTGAGGAATATTAGGTGGAAGTGGTGGAGGTGGTTGAGTGTAGCTACTAGAAATGTGCAGCATCTATTATTGTAAAGCATTCTCTTTTATAGGATCTCCTCTATCGAAGATCTAGGTCACTAGTGGATTATGAAAATGCTAATAAAGCACTGGATAAAGCAAGAGCCAAAAATAAAGATGTTTTACAGGCAGAAACGTCCCAACAATTATGTTGTCAGAAATTTGAAAAAATATCAGAGTCTGCAAAACAAGGTACTGTTACATTATCCTTTAATAAGGTAGGTATGTTTTACACTAGTATGTAAATAAAATAATCCTAATTTCTTTTGTTCACAGAACTTATAGATTTTAAGACAAGAAGAGTTGCAGCATTCAGAAAAAACTTAGTGGAACTGGCAGAGTTGGAACTAAAGCATGCAAAGGTAATGTCATAAAGGGTTAACAATTTCAGGAACTTATAATTTACAAAGGAGTCAGTTATAAAACTGATTCCAAAGGATACTGTAAGAAATATTACTGAATTGAAATTAAATTTTCCACATTTATTTCACTCCTTTAAAATATTTGGTTTTAGTATTATCCTCTTACAGAGTTTTTTACAGCTCTTAAGTTCTTTGTTGTAGTTAATATAAAACTTAGTGCAAACCTTACAGTAAATATTAAAAGAGAATCTTAGAATTGAGAGAGATTTCTTAAGTGATGTCATTCAAACAAGAATAATATCTATAATGACTCTGGTGGTCAGCTCTGCAAGACTCTGGTATCTAATATAGAAACCAGTATCTTTGTTTTTTGGTTTTTTTTGACTAGTTGTTTAAAAAATAAATCTTTCTCCTGGTTGGTTTGGCTCAGTGGATAGAGCGTTGCCCTGCGGACTGAAGGGTCCCAGGTTCCATTCTGGTCAAGGGCACATGCCAGGGTTGCTGGCTCGTTCCCCAGTGGGGGGCGTGCAGGAAGCAGCCAAGCAGTGATTCTCTCTCATCATTGATGTTTCTATCTCTCTCTCCCTCTCCCTTCCTCTCTGAAATCAATAAAAATTAAAATATATATTTTAAAAAAAGAATAATAAATCTTTCTGCCCTGGCCAGTTTTTCTCAGGGGTTAGAGCTTTAGCCCTGAGACCGAAGGGTCGGGTTTGATTCCCAGTTAAGGGCATGTACCTGGGTCGCAGGTTCCATCCCCAGCTCTGGTTGGCGTGTGTTCAGGAAGCAACCAATCGATGTCTCTCTCTCTCTCTCTCTCTCTCTCTCTCTCTCTCTCTCTCTCTCCCCCTCCCTCCCTCCCCCCCTCTCTCCCTCTCTCCCTCTCTACCTTTCTTCCACTCTTTCTAAAAAATCAATGGGGGAAAAAATAGAAAATAAAAAATAATGGAAAAATAGAAAATAAAAAATAAATAGCCCTAACCGGTTTGGATCAGTGGATAAAGCGTCGGCCTGCGGACTGAAGGGTCCCGGGTTCAATTCCGGTCAAGGGCATGTACCTTGGTTGCGGGCGCATCCCCAGGAGGGGGTGTGCAAGAGATTTTAAAAAAATAAAATAAAATAATAAATAGAAAAATATCCTTGGGTAAGGATTAATAAACAAATAATCTTTCTAAATATATACAAATATCACTTGAAAAATAATTTTTAATATATTTTTATTGATTTCAGAGAGGAAGGGTGAGAGAGAGAGAGAGAGAGAGAGAGACAGAAACATCGGTGAGGAGAATCATTGATTGGCTGCCTTCTGCATTCACCCCTATCAGGGATCAAACTCAAAACCTAGGCATGAAACTAGTGACCTTTCTGTGCATAGGACAATACGCAACCAATTGAGCCACACTGGCCAGGGCTGTTTTCATTGGAGAGAGAAATATGTATTGGTTGCCTCCCATACACACTTTGACCAAGGATTGAACCTGCAACCTGGGTATGTGCCCTGACTGGTAGCGATGCTCTAAACACCAAACCACACTGGCCAGGGCCCATCTGTAAGAAATATTAAGTGTACAGTTCAGTCATGTTGAGTATGTTCACATTGTGCAACAGGTCTCTAGGATTTTTTTATTTTGAGCATTTAATTTTTAAAATGTAATTGCAGGCTTCATTTATAGCTGTTAGTGTTTAGCTTGCTAGTTTTAGCCCAGAGCACTCATATCTTTTAAAAATACGGATTTGATTGCATAGAATTTACTATTAAACTAATTATTCCCACAAAGTGGTGTACATTTGTAATTTGTATGAACTTCCCTTTTATATCTTCATTTAAATTTTAATGTAAAAGATTGATCCAGCACCAAAGGAATCAACATTTGTTAATCTAATTATAAAAGTACATGGCACCGCCCTGACCGGTTTGGCTCAGTGGATAGAGCACCGGCCTGCAGACTGAAAGGTCCCAGGTTCGATTCCAGTCAAGGGCACATACCTTGGTTGCGGGCAGCTGATCGATGTTTCTAGCTCTCTATCCCTCTCTCTTCCTCTCTGTAAAAAATCAATAAAATATATATTTAAAAAAAAAAAAAGTACATGGCACCAAGAAAGGCTAATTTTTGTGTTGTTGTTGTTGTTAATCCTCACCCGAGGATAATTTCCAGTGATTTTTAGGGAGAGGAGAAGAGAGAGGGAAAGACAGAGAGAAACATTGATGCGAGAGACACATCGATTGGTTGCCTCCCATGCATACCGCATCGCTCAGTCTCCACTCTCCTGTGTGGTAGCCACTAGCCTCGTGTGGCTATCACACACTTGAGATGTGGGTAGTGCAAATGAGGAACTGAGTTTTTATTTATGTTTAATTTTTTTTTTACTTTTTTAAATATTGATATTTAGAGAGAGAGGAAAGGAGGAAGGGAGAGAGACAGAGAGGGAGAGGGAGGGAGAGAGGGAGGGAGAGAGGAGCATCAATGTGAGAGTGAAACATTGATCAGCTGCCTCCTGTACAACCCCTACCGGGGATCAAGCCTGCCACCTGGGCATGTGTCCTGACCAGTACTCAAACCCCACAACCTTTCAGTTCATGGAACAGCGCCCAACCAACTGAGCCACACTGGCCAGTGCATGTTCACTTTTATTTTTTTAATTTTTTTATTGTCTAAAGCAGTGGTTCTCAACCTTGGCTGCACATTAGAATCACCTGTGCAACCAAGGTTGTGAACCAACCACTGGTCTAAAGTTTTACATATGTCTCCTTTTTCCCGAATTGACTCTCCCCCCCACAATGCATGTTTACTTTTGACCAGCAGAAATGTAAATTTTACGTAGCTGTACATAGCTAATGGCTACAGCATTGGCATCTTAGCATCATACAGTTTTTAACATCTAATGATTTTTGTCTGACTTTGATATTAATATGATGGTTGCCAAGTGGTCATTTTGTGATTCCATCATTCTTTATACATTTCGGTTGACTTTCTACTTGAAGGAAGGGGTTTCTTTCACCCCATTTTATATATTATGTAACCTAATTATTGGGGCAAAAGTAGGCTTCCATTTGTTCATATGGAAAATAATACAAGAATTATAAGTAATAATAAGACCAGAATAAACTGTTCTTCACATACTCACAACTGGAAACCTACTTTTGCCTCTCCCTGTACTTAAATTTGCCTTTACACCTCTCCAAATTTGGATGGCAGTGTACATGCTTTACAATGGGTACTTAGGTATGAATTTCATACTTTTGTATGTAATCTTACCATTTTTATCAAGACTGCAATACTTAGAGTGGATGGTACATCCCTTGGCCCCTTACAAATGGGTACTTAGGTATGAACTTCATACAATACTGTTGCCTGTAATCTTACCATTTTTATAAAAACCGCTATATATCTATGCGAGTGTATTTGTTAATGGCTATAGGACAGTGATAGGAACCTATCTTACAGCCAGAAAGTGTTCAGTAGTTTAACCTGGACACAAAGGGCATACTTCCTCCCTCATTCGAACATTCCAGATCAAAGCATTAACATTGGTCTTGCTGGAAGTTTACTGAAGAATGTAGTATGTGGAAAATGCTGTACGTGAAACAAATTCTATAATTTTAGGCCTATTTGTGTATAATGAGTAGCTGTTTCCAAACTTCCTGTGTTGTAACAAATTAAAAGTTGTGGGATTTTTCATACTTTATATTTTGAATGAGACTCTCCCAAACTATTTGAACTTCATACTTGACTCTCCCTTCCTGTTTAGGGTAACCTCCAGTTGCTGCAGAACTGCCTGGCAGTGTTAAATGGAGACACATAAGCCACACCCCACCGTCGGGGTCAAAAAGGGCTGCCTTCCTTCAGATTTTACGTTTGTTTTCTTCATGATGTTCGGCATTCACTGCTCACTGGAAACAAAAGAAACAGCTGACAACGTGCACCTACTCACCTCTTTTCTGAGAAACCATGGAGCGGTGAGGCCCACGGGCACTGCCAGCTCAGCCCGTGGTGGGCGCTGCTCTCCCGCCTCCCGCACCTGCAGCTCCCCGGGGCGGGGGCTGCTCCTCCTGCGCTCCTCCTCTTCAAAAGCCCAAAGTTCAGTCCTTTTCTACAGTAGCTTCTATAGCTCTGTTTATTTTATGAATAGTATTCCTTATGGCTGCCAACCTTACTTACCTTTAAGTCACTTCTGAAGTTTAACCCTTTCAAAATATATTCTTCAAACAAGATAAAGATTGCCACTACCTTTTTTTGAATTTTGTTTTTAAGGAAACATGGAATACCACCTTAGTTCATTCATGTATCCTGGTAAAGCATCTTAATCAGACTTATTTTTAATTAATGAATATTTCTTAGAAGTTTTGGGACAGACTTTATGTAATCTTTCTAAGTATGATTTCTGAAGAAAAGCAAATGCATTCGTATGTTTGCCTTAAACTTGTAGACTAAACCAACTATTGTCAAATAAACGGTGATAACAGTGATGGTTTCTAACTCTGTGGTCATTGCATCACTCTGACATCTGGGGTAGCTCTACTGAATCTGCTCCTCCCTCATTCTTACAGAGCAGGTCTTAGTTTTCCTTCTTTCCTTCGGAGTGACAGAGTGAGCCAAGCTCACCCATCCCTTCACAAAGCCACGGACTGCTGCTGTGCTTTGGCACTTCATAGACGATGGAATTGGGCAGAGGCCGGTTAGAGACAGCTGTTTCTAAAATCCAGGAGCTGAGAATATGGCCTGCTAAGGTTTCCTGGATTCCATCCCTAGCTCGACGGTGAACCACGTGACATATGCCATTGAGCCAGTAGTTGGTAGTTATGCCAGTGTATAGATTAGTATTGAGAGAGAAAGAGAGAGAGAGAGAGAGAGAGAGAGAGAGAGAGGTCTGCTATAGGGAACAACTCGTGCTGGTGGAAAAGAAATAGAAACACGTGGAATAAAGTTTAGGTACCATAAAGGCTACTAATTGTCAGTAGTTACATGACCAACATACTGGCCTTCCTAATGTGGGTGAACATTATGCCATGCCTATTTAAAATTAGGTAGAGTGGTTGGCTTTTCCCACCGTCTTTTTCTGAGTTTGCTCCCATTTGGAAACCACAGGCATTTGGGTTGGTCACCGCTGGGATGGGCTCTGAAGGAGGCCTGGCCTACGCCCCAAGCCTAGTCCGGAGGATTCCGCCTTCCTCCACAGCCTCGCTGCTGTGCTGGTGAAGATTTCTCTCCTTCACTCTTGCTCACCGGTGCCATTTGAGCTGTTGATTGTTCTGTTGACTGGGAGATCTGTGTGCTTTGTCCTTCAGGTCACCTTCACTGGTGACAATATGCCCATCCAGTGCTCGCCAAGCGGGTGAACGTGGGATGGAGAGCCCTAGCTCAGGACTCAGTGGGGTTCCTTCACGGGGTGCCCTGTGGCCTCGGGCAGGTTCACTTGATCTCTCTCTCTGCCTCGGTTTCTCTACTACACAAGACACATTGACCTACCTCACAGGGGTGTTGTGAGGATTAATACATGTTGGTACAGCGCTTTGGAAATGTGAAGATGCTCTGTAAATGCCAAGAAATGGCAAATACAGGGCAAAAAGCTATACATACCCAACAGTTCATCTGTTTGTACCACGGTGGCCTTTGGGGGGAGGCGTTAGAGTGGATGGTACTTCCCTTGGCCTCTCACATTTGTAGAGCACTTGTTGGGGGTGGGGGTCGGCTGGAAGCAGCAGTGTGGTGGAGGGGGGAAGGGTTGCTTCATATAGAAATGATTTGACTACCACACTTTGCAAGGGTCTTCTCACAGACAAATCCTACAAATGAGATAAAGAATATGTTACTCACTGAGGGCATACAAAGGAAAGATTCTACTTTGCATCTCCAGAACAAACATTTGTTATTCCACAGTTGAATGCTTGTTTGTCCCTGATAAAAATAGCAGCCCTGGATATTCGCTGCTATTGAGTTGTGTGCCATTGATAAAGCATCTGTTGACCATCCCTGCCTGTGGGACACAACAACAGTGAAACAGAAGGAAAGACACCTCCTGCCCCTTGGGCGTTGCTCAGTGATTGGGCATCACCTATGAACCAGGAGGTCAGGGTTCCATTCCTGGTCAGGGCACAGCCCGCGGTTGCAGGCTAGATCCCCCATTGGGCCTGCAGGAGGCAGCCCATCAATGTTGATGTTTCTCTCTCTCCCTCTCCCTTCCTCTTGAAATCAATAAAAAAAAATTTTTTTTAAAAAGACACCTATTGGCAGAGATCAAAGCCCTCTACGGATAGTCCATGGTTTCCCTCTGGTGATGCTTTATGCCAGCGATTTCCAAACACTTGTGTCGTGAGAATTTTTAAAACATCTAATACCTGCCTATTTATTCAGGGGCACTGACCTCTTTTCCCTTAGATTGTCAAAATAAATAAATAAATAAAAAGAAAACAGCCAACAAATACAATAACAGCCATGGATGTGAATGAATCAAAATGATACCTTTTTCTGTTTTGTCAGATTGGCAAAAAATCTATTTTATGGTGTGCCGCAGAACTTTAGTAAGTTTGTATGCCGCGAGATGAAAAAGGTTAAAAACCGGTGTTTTGTGCTCTGAGAAGGAACAGGAGCTGACCAGCATCCGGAAGTGTCTGGGGGAGTCAGCAGTTGGGAGGGAACCGGGAGAATGTGCGGCGAGGGGCTCATTCCCCGCGAGCGGAGGGAAGCAGGTCAAGCCCTGGCCGCGGGCTCAGCGGTGGAGCGTGGAAGGGCCCCGGTCCAATGATCCCGGTCGGGGCGCTATCGGAATCGCGCACCAGGCAAGCAATTGATGGGTCTCACATCCCTGGTTCTCTCTCTCTCTCTCTCTCTCTCTCTCTCAGGATTAACAAAGTAAGTGGATCAGGCCTGTAGACCACTGAGGTTCACACTGGTGATACCTAGTTTGGAAAACCTTATTCAATATCCTTGATGTTGCGTAGTAAACTATAGAAATGGGGCTTAAAGCGACCTTTTTTAAATGGGGCACTCTGCAGAAAACAGAGTAAAATGGGAGACCCACAAGGGTTTCAAAGAAAAGTGCCCTGGGGAACAGGGAGCGAGCTACTCAACCTTGAAACCAAGGAGTGCGACTCTAGATTCCAACTGTGTCCGGAAGCCCGCCCCCACCCGCGCCCATCCTTTGTCTGTTGACACGAAACATGAAAACCAGGTGCGACGGGGGAGGAAACCTAGTATGATCCAGACTACAGGTGAGGAGCACTAAGAGCGGGAGGCTGGGGTGGAACTGACTCCTCACACCCCCTTTATCTTTTTCCCAGCTCCTCCTTGTTTGGGAATTCATCACAAACTAGTACTGAAAGAAAACTGAAAACGCCGATATCAACAACCACTAAGCAGGAACCTATGACCTCTATTCTTTTTTTTTCTTTTCTTTTTCTTTCTTTTTTAATATATTTCATTGATTTTTCAGAGAGGAAGGGAGAGAGACAGAGAGTTAGAGACATCGATGAGAGAGAAACATCGATCAGCCGCCTCCTGCACACCTCCCACTGGGGATGTGCCCGCAACCCAGGCACGTGCCCCCGACCAGAACCGAACCCGGGGGGCCCCAGTCTGCAAGCCGACGCTCCATCCACTGAGCCAAACCGGTCTCGGCATATGACCTCTATTCTTAAAAATTGCAGAAACAAGGGGAGAGCGCGAACGCAGTCCCCCACTACCACAAATTATGCAGTCGAGTTTCCCACATTTGGGGAAATCGCAGGGGTCAGCACATCCGGAGTGCAATGGATAAGCCTCGCCCTGGGAAAACCACCTTCGTGATCATGGTATCTCCCCTGCCAGGTAAGTATGAGTTGCTCCCACCGCCGACACCCCAAACCCCACGCGCGCCCCACTCTTCACACACGCTCACTCCACTCAACACACCGCTGTGCCCACGCTGCCCCAGGGACCCGAGCAACAACCGCGCCCGATGCGACAGCAACCCGCGGGGCGCTTGGATCTCGGATACGGGGACCTGGGGGCGCAGGCGGAGTGCGACCGGCAGCCTCTGCGCGCCTTGTCATCTGCATACGTCACGCCCCCGGCCTGACGTCCCCGGCGCCCTGTCTCCGGGTTCTCAGAGTCCCGGACCCGGGAGGGAGGACGGAGTTTCGCCGCACCCGGCGCCCAGCAGTTGTGATGGCCCCACCGAGGGTGGCTCAGGGCCCGGGCTCGGTCTCGCCTTCCTGTCAACCAAAATGACACGCAGCAGAGTGTCCGTTCAACTTAGAGACTAAGATCAGAGTTTCCTCATCAATTTACAGGAAACTTTCACTCCTCATTCCTGGCCTTTAGACGGTGACCCCATCGAGCCGCAGGGAAAGGAACAGGGGACGGAGGGTCAGGACAAGGCGGTCGTTCGCGGGGGAGACGCGGGGGCCGGGCGGGGGAGGCGCGTCTCTGAAAGGAGCTGAACGGAAATGTCACACTCCCGGCTCGGGGTTCGGTGCCGCCTCAGGCCCCGGGTCTCTCTCTCCTCCGCCGAGAAGGCTCCTTCTTGAGTCGAGTGGAGGCTGAAGGCGCCTCCCGCGGACCGTGGTGGCTCCTGAGCGGTCGGTCCCCGGAGCACAGCCCGGGGGAGGCGGACTGGAGGACGGGGGCGGTCCCGCTGCGGGGAGGTGGGGACACTATGCAGCAGCCTTCCTGATGGTTGGTTGTGTCAGGAAGTTTCCTGCCTCCGGGTGTATTTCCTGAAAACAAAGGGATCTCTTACCTAACCCCCAGTGCGATGATCAAAATCAAGGAATTAACCCTGGTGCAACATTTACAGTATTTTCCTCATTTACTCTGCAGACATTATTCAGTTTCCATCCATTGCCCCTATAATGCCCTTTATAGCCAAGGAAAATTCAAACCACATATTGCATTCGGACATCATGTCTCTTTAACCTACTTTAACCTGAAATAGTTCCCAGGTCGTTCTTTGTAGGCATTTTCGAAGACTGGAGACCAGTTATCCGACCTAGACAGTCCTTCCACTTGGGGGTTGTCCTGTTTCTTCATAGTCACGTTCAAGTGCATATTTAAAGGAAGACTAACTACAAAAGTGCTTTTGTGACTGCTATTGCTACTTCATAACTGTAATGTTGCTACTGTTATGAATCATAATGTAAATATCTGATATGCAGGATGGTCTTAGGTGACCCCTGTGAAAGGGTCGTTCAACCACCAAAGGGGTCGCGACCAACAGGTTGAGAACCACTGCCTAAACACTCAGCCACACCAGCCAAGACAGTCTAGCCTTCTGTTTTAAAAAACGCAACGACTGACTGTCCTGGCCGGTGTGGTTCAGTGGGTGGGAGCATCATCCTGGACACCGAAAGGTGCAGACTGTATTCCGGTCAGGGCACCTGCCCAGGTTGTGAGTTCCACCACCCTCAGCAGGGACATCTATGGAAGGCAACCGATCCATGTTTCTCTCTCACATTGATGTTTCTCTCTCTCTCTCCCCCTTTCTGTCTCT